AAAAATAAACGAAAAGTGCAGACCACGCAAGAAATTCACGGAGCTTCTACCGAAAAGGTTTATGATGAGAGAGGAGAACAAGCGCGAAAGTATGTCAAACAACGAAATGACGGCGTCGGAGTTAAATACTGTGGAAAGAATCTTATAAACGCTCGGAAACCTCCAAACGTGCCCCTTCTGATAACAAAAACCTGTGATCTTCGTACGACAGCAATTACATCCAACCCAATTACACTGACGAATGAAGCTTTGACCTCAACACTGTCTTTTTCAATCAAACGCTCTTCAAACATCAAGGCAGAACTGAGGAGAATGCGAAACTCCGGGAGCGACGATCACGCTCTCGAACCATGTTCCGTGATAATTATCATTGACGTTATCGATGTGATGATTCTGGGCTGCGGAGGAATCATGCAGCGATAAGAAAGTGCTGTCTACCAAAGTGTCCATCCTTCAGAGAACACATCAGCATTGGTAAAGTCACAAGTCTGCTGCATTTCATTGTGCCTCGGCACTGCAATGTGATGTTCTTCAAGGGTAATCATTTATGCGACACCGACTCGCATGTATACATTTGTTATGTACCACCCCGCCTTACCCAATGGATGGTGTTACGTGATGAACACGGTATAGGAGCACGGTCATAGCTAACGGTCTGGCGAGACAAGATGAGAAAAACGAAGAACAGGGAGAGATGCTTAGACGATCATGCCATGTTTGCATTTAAAATATTGCGTTCTTTTGCGTTGTGTTTTTTCTTTATATTGAGCGAACTCTGCTGCAGTATATATTGTGAGCGCAAAACGCGGTTCCTCACAATATATATTATTTGAAACATGTAACAGCACTAATTGACCCAAAAGAACGTTTCTGCACCTTACGCTTGTTTACAGTAGAGTCCACTCATGATAACATGTCAAATTTACCTTATCGTTGCGATGAAATCATTTTTTCATGTGGCAATTTTATCATACACTAGGCTGCTTATTGAGATGCGCAAGTGTTATGATTACAAATGTTGCAATTAAATCAAGCCCAACACACACTGCAAATGTGTCTCCGCTTTGGGAGCATCGTGTGGCGGATAGTGGTGAGCGTAACGAAACCTTCTCTAAAATTTACGCATACGGGAAGCACACTTGGGGCATATGTTTCTCAGTCTACTGTGGGAGTGGCTACTAATTTTTGGTGATTAATGTTTTGTTAATTAGTCCGAGTTATGCAAACTCGTCCAATTCACACCCTATAGTTAATTATTCATGATGCATGTGCTAAAACGAATGTCGAGCCGTTAGACTATATTCTGCAGACTATTAGCAGGATATATTTACAACAGTGGTTGCAGTGCTGACCTGCTTCAACTCTTATCCCGAGGGGAGAGATATTCCTTCTCTTCATCCTGCGTACACGCGTGTGTTTGAAGAGGCCGGCAATATGCATGTAGAATAACTCACAGCAGCAGAAGGGCGCTCTGTATGATGTCGGTGATCACCTGCCACACAAATATTCGGCCACAGTCCGTAAGCAGCTGGCATAGAGCTCCATGTTGCAAAATTGCTGTCTTTAGTAAGAAGTCGGTGGCGTTTGTCGGCCATCTTGTGGGAAGCGCGAGTGTAATGGCGTACCATGTTTCGTGGTATGTGTCCCCAGCTATCAACCTTTTACCAAAGGAGGGCTGTAAAGCAGCCCAAGTAGGACCATTTCTTCTGTCTGGTTAGGTACTCAACGCGAAAGAATGGTGTTGACAAAATGTCAAGATGTTGAAGGCATTAGGCGGGAAGCGTCGATGGTGGTTCACCGTATTGGCTTTTTTCACACGCCACATGTCTATTCTGACGAAGCGTGCAAGCCCAGGCTAATAGAAACATGGGTGCATCCTGTTGTAAGTGTACGATACACGAGGATTACCACCGTGAAAGGTCATGAAGTTCTGGAACAGCCGAGCGGAAGTGTTTCAGAAGAACAGTCAGCAATGCTGGTCAATTTGTGTGAAAATTGTGGTGGCACAATGCACCATCTTGGAGGACAAAAGAGTGACGGGACTGCTTGGTGCACAACAATTCTAGGGTTTCGATTCAAATACGCGAGGACGCACCAGGGAGTTGTTCATTGCCAATATGCATCTGTAAGGAAACGGGAAAGACGCAAGCGATGGCATGAGTGTCAGGGATAACACTCCACCTACCAGGCAGTGAGGCAGGCAGTCTGCGTCCTGACATAGATGTCTGGACTTGTGCGTTACTCTGTAGGTACATTCTTGAAGTTGCAGACCCGAGCCGGTCAGTAGGGTCATTTATGGCAGAAAGCCAACAGAGCGAATGATGGTGTGTTATGACAGAAAAAGTGCTTTCGTTTAAACAGTGAAACTGTGAAACTGTTCAGACCAGATGAAGGCATTGGCGCTCTGTAATTAGGTACCTGCGCTGCACAGCTCTAAAGAGGTGGTTAGCCTAGCTGATAACATGGGCGTGTCTAGCCCCGTTGGCGCTGGCATAAGGCGGCTTCGATCCCATGAACACTACCACCGGTTCCTACATTTGTAGGAGCGGATAGACCAAATGACCAATATAGATGGCGTCGCCAAAATTGTGACGATGTGGAAAAATACGGTAGTTGAGGTGGAACCCAACACAAAATGCAAGTCTTCTTTAAATCTCAGTAAGTGACTGAGCGATTGATGCGAAATCTTTCACGAACCTTCTGAAGTAAGACCAGGGCCCCACGAAACACCGGATGTTCTTGACTGAGTGCGGTACATGAGAAGTCGAGCATTTGCATGAATGCATGAGTTTACTCTGGGTCCAGGGCACGCGTGATACATCGGTGACGTTGGCCAACACTACTCTACTCGCTTCCGACGCGGCACTTCGACAAATTTATTCAGGGTTCAAGAAGATCTTGATTCGGATTCAACAATGTCTCTGGCTAGCGTCTTCTTGTTTTCCAGTTGGAAGACCTCTACGGCTGGCATCAGATGTGGTTGGCGATGAATGGGAAGAGAATCAGCAGTGTTTGTGCAGTGAAGAGAAGTCTGGCCTAGAGGTATATTGTCACCGTCCAACATGCTGTGACAGGAAGCCAAAAAGCGTCTCAGAGTGGCTCATTGCCCATGTTCAAGGTACAGAGTGAACAGGATGTTGTAATGCCATGTTGAGGCACGGGACAACCGGCGGGCGGCAAGAAACATCTGAGCACATGACTGCTGCAAAAGCGGTGACATAGTCATCAGATAAGGATTGAACCATGTAGACTGAGTGCCTTGGGCTGAAACCTCGTCATGAAATCAAAATTTAAGATATACAACAGGAATATATAATATATATATATATATATATATATAATATATATATATATATATATATATATATATATATATATATAACTGGTTAGCGGCTACAATTGCAGCACGCGAAAGAAGCACATGATATCGCGCACTAGAAGCGCGTCGACAGAAGGCTCGCCAATGAAGTCGCCGTGAAGAATACGTGAAGATGTTGCCTGTTCGACGAAGGTTAGGGATTAGGACAGCATGCGGATAAAGTCTGTGGTACAGAGGATCTTCTAGGGTTCGGTGCTAGTATGCTATTATCCGGTAGAACGGGAAATTTCAAGCGAGATTAGCTGAAGAACAGTGGTTACGGGCGAAATGCTTAGTGAGAAGTATATCCTTCAGATAAAGACACCAGGGCAACTGCAGAGCACCTTGAACAGGACGGGAACGTGGCGGCCTGGAATGCTTCTTTGAGCAGTACACATTCGCGTGAGAGCAACAGCTTCACCAATGATGTGGGCAGCTTTATTTGGAGCTAGCGTGAGTAATTCTTCTAGTCGGCAACACAGACGCGCATGGATGATGAACACCAGACCTCCGGTATGAATTATACCCGTGTAAGAAATAACATTCATAAATAGATCAATTAGTTTGTGTTTGTAGGTAGCGTCAACAGAGAATTGAGTCAAACCGAAGTGATGAAGTGCTACTTTCAGGAACTGCACGATCTTCATGGATGTACTTTGATGCCAAGCAGCGGGTGCTAACGCTTACACGGGCGGCAGCGTTGACCTTGGCGCTAATGGCGGCTTTGCGCAGAATAGAAACCACGAGAGGCAAAATCGCGCAGTTATGGAACAGTGTTTCCTACTGGAACATGTGAATTTCTGCTAATTTGCAATCAAAGACAGAAGACTCCGGTGGGACACAAAGACCTATAGTGCAATTTTAGTTAACGCGCAAGCTGGGAATTTTTAGTCTTTTACAACGCACAGAAAAATCTCCCACCGGCACTACCTTGCAGGTAAAGATCCAGTTCATATATATATATAAGGGGTGGCCAGTGAACAGTTGTGCAGCAAGAGATGTTTTTTTTTTCATCAACAGCTCGCTAGCACACGCTGGCTGCGCTGGTCTTGCGATGCGGGAGAGGGGGCACGTAGGAGAGGAGAGATAAGGGGAGGAGACGCGCATCTGCAATGGGGGTGTAAACGTCGTTGCGAGGGGTGCCTAGAGGAGAGAGAGCAGGAGGGATATTAGGCCAGAAGGTGCTGCTGGTGTTGGCGTGGCGAGGCGAGAGCGACGGAGTTTAGGAGAGGAGAGAAAGGGGGACGCGCATGCTCAGTAAGGCTGATGACAACACACGCACACTGGTTTGATCTCAATGATATTATGCTGCGCATCTAAAAATCATCAATAACTATGTTCGACACCCACCGATTAGGGTCAGCGTTATTGGGTGTTCAGTTATGCGAAAAGATTTATGGCTTCATCACGCGGCTATTTTTAGAGGACAAAGAGCAGAGATAGCATGGTCGGACATACTACTTTGAGACGGCGGGAAGTAGCTTCCAATGACTGTCTCATATGCACTGGAGGCTGAATAAAGAGAAAAGTGTTAGTAGAGAGAACTTAATTTTTTGGCTTCATTTTGTGTTTGCTTCGGTCATACAAATTATGAGTGTGTCTTCACACAATTGAAAACAAAGTAATGCCCGTGCATGCTCACCTTGAACTAGCGTGTCGATGTCGGCAACATTTGTCAAAAATTTAGGATCAATGATAGGATATTCTTCAGGATCTGTGCTCCTCAGCCGAATGAAGCCAGACGATTTTGGATGAAGAAGTATTGGTACAACCATAAATGCATTGTATCCTCGCTTTTGCTTGTAGTACGTTTCATACATCTGAAAGGGTTAATAGACAAAAATAACAAAAAGAAACTGGATATCTGAGGAGGGACACAGCCTCTCAGCACCGAACAGGTTTATTACTTTAAACGCAATTATCTTTTATGGCATGCATCAAACCAATGGCAATATAATTTTGTGAAGTGTAGCAAAAAAATTTCGCGACACTATGCTGCCCTAAAAGACAATCAAAGAAATGTGACAGCGCACTCTAAAATTTTGTACATCAAGCACGCCTTCGGTATAAAAAAACAATATTTCACAAATTGTAGGTCGTAAAAGCAACTACGAAAAACGATAAAGTTATATAAGCTATGGAACCTACATCTGACAAAAGTGAAAATAACGAGAAAAGTTTCAAAATCTGGGTAACAAACTACTGAAAAGACATGCGCTGTAGACAGCGTACTACCTCTTCGGAGAGGAAAAGTGAGGGCCTACTGACCCATAAGTTACTGAACCTCTGAAATCCAGCTGCTCCTAAAAGTTCCAAACAAATTGCTCGCCGTGCCTACCTATGACAGTGCATCATTAGAAATACGTGAAGCAGCAGCAATCATTGCAGCGCATCGCCAGAGGACAAGGTACTACTCGCTGAATCAGTCGGTGCTGTTAACGACAGGCATTTATGCACCTGCATGTTTGTGCGACATAGTGACTGCCGCACAATAGTAGCGTGGAGTGCACGACTCCTTGCCCCGCCACGGTGGTCTAATGGCTAAGGTACTCGGCTGCTGATCCGCAGCTCACGGGATCAAATCCCAGCTGCGGCGGCTGCATTTTTGCTGGAGGCGAAACTGCTGTAGGCCTGTGTGCTCAGATTGCGCAGCGCTTTAAGGAACCGCAGGTGGTCAAAATCGCTGCAGTTTTCCACAACGGTGTCCCTCATAATCACACGGTGGTTTTGGGACGGTAAACCCTACATATCACACTACTCCTTGCTCACATGGCAAAAACGTGTGCTTGTTTCCTGGAAGTAATCCTAGACACCCAGAGAGCTTCTCATGGGCCGAGTTGACATTCTTCATGAGCCAGTGATGCGTGATCATTTTCAGATAGTTTGATAATCTACGCATATTTAAAACACCGCAGTTCTCTTTCTTTGTGTGGACACGTGCTTCTAAACCAAGTCGGCAATGTCTATGTATCGGTGCATGCATTTCACAACGGCTAACAGCACGTGAGATGCGTGCTGCGACAAAGACATGTGCTCCACTTTCTACTGAAGACCGTATGATCTGTGTCTGAATGACTTACGCCTAACACTTCTGCAACAAGCACTCACCCATGAACTCTTTACAAGCTTAAAGGGCGATGTGAAACATGTCAAGAAAGGGTTCCCAGCATGCACGGGTCATACGCTTAGCAGATCCATTCTAGTTTCAGCTTTATTTTGCTGTCTTAAACTAAGATAGATGGCTCTTGTGGTATTATACACGTCACAACAAATGACTTTAGACATCCATGAAAATTATTGGCACCTTATCAGGCACTCTAAGAAATTCTCAATTATTTGTACCAAACTAGTTAATCACCTACAAACTAAACACGAATGCGACCCCTGTCTGCCACAGCCGCACATGCCACACTCCCTCTCCCCAGGCTGGCTAAATACAAGTCACCCATGAGAGGCGCTACTGAGGACTCTAAACATATAACAGTGGGCAGTAATTACTGATTCTCTACACGTTTTGAGAAAAGTTACCTAAAGAAATCTTCTAGCAGTTCAGAAAGCCAATGGTAGAAACACCTGATTTCTTCTTAACGGTAACTGCGCCGTAACTATCAATGCGGCTTCAGTTACAACTAAGCAAACGTTCCAGATGCAGTATGTAATGAAGAACTACCCAGGTATTCTTACCATTTTCTTTCTAATAAGCAATCATTTGTTCCACTTTCTGACCTATGAACGGGTCGTGCTTTCGCCACGTCCTATTTTAAGATACCGTTCGTTACACGTAATGAATAATCTACCTCATGTGCGTTGTTACATACTGTAATACGTAATGAACAATTCACCTTATGTTTCTTTGCACTAAATACGTCTCCAAACAGAAGCTCTTCTTGAAATATACCAATTTTATTAAATGCTCTAGCTTTAATTTCTTTTACAGTCTTTTTGCTTTGGATTTTACATTCTATACCTCAACAATGTGCTGATGTGCTGGCGTAAAAAGTGTTCCAAAAGTTTGGACCAGAAAATGTTTCTTAAAGATGACCCAATACAACCAAAAACCAGTATTAGGTAGTTTCTCTGCAGAACGAACGGTCAAAATATTTCAGTTCTACCGTATCAAGTACATGGCGTGATGATGCAGATCTCGCGATGCAAGCAGAAAAAGCAAGATGATGAACAGCCTAACTTGGGTGCACATGCGCGGCAGTAACTCGTTGCTAATGCACACTATATTGTGATACTTTTTTCGTTTCCAAGTAAACCAAGCATTCACATCAATCTGCGACCACAATTGTGTATAGGCCTCGCGCTGTTAATTTTGCTGCTGAGGTGTTAATTTCGTGAAACTGGTGAACTTGGATTAAATCCCTGCCCGATAGTTGCATATCTTTGAAAGCAGCAGTGCTCAGCAGCTACCTACTTACATATAAATGCATATTTAAGAACTGTAGGCGATGAAATGAATAGGCAGGTTTTAAACACTGCGTCCGTTATAACCATTCGTTGCTGTGGGAGTGCAAAACCACAGAATTTCAATCAAATTACTCCATATAGAAGGTAATTTGTAAATGGCAGTTTAGAACTGTGATATACCAGACATAGCGCACGGAGCACAATTTAGGTTATATTATAAATACTTTGCATGACATTATCACCAGTTTGTACAGGAAGACAGAGATTACACGTTAAACATGGCACGTTGGGCAGGTATGGTGGGTTACATAACTAAACCAAGTCACTTATGATTACAAAACTGCCTAATGAAACTTTTGAGTGTTGTTGTTGACATGTTTTCCATCCTGAAGAATTCACAACACACGAACGGGGTGAATGGCGATGAGTGAGGCGAAGCTTCGCGAGCTCTATGCTCAGCCGTCTGTTTGTTCGTCTGTCTGTCTGTCCGTTCTTTCGTCCGTCTTTCCATTCATCCATCCATTCATCCATCTGTCTGTCTGTCTGTTTGCATTTTTTCAAACTGCTATCAAACTAAGCCACATGGATGAATGAAATGATATGGCTGTGCTCTTTAGATCGAGCGGTGGCTAACGCCAGCAAGCCATAATACTTAGTGAACCAACAACTAGATTTCTTTTTTTTATTTTAAACATTGAGGCTGAGGACTCGTACTTTGCAGTGAAGGGTTTAATTTTCACTTGTGAATTAACTTTCGCCACCAAACAGATAACCTCCTTCTAGTCAATTCTACCCACTTAAAGCCTATTTTGACCTCCCTGTCCCTAAACCCTAGTGCTTTGAAAAACTATGCGCCATCATCCTTAACTATAGGGTAACCCTTTACAGAACATCATCAAGTGTTCGGCAGTTTCGTCATCCTCTCCACACGCACTCCCTACTGTGTCTACCCCTTCGTATTTGGCCCGATATGTCTTGGTTCGCAATACTCCTGTCCTGGCCTCAAACAGTAGAGAACTACCGCGAGTATTGTCATAGATCCTTTCCTTGGCGATTTCCTTCTAAAAATTTAATAGATCTCTAGTGTGGACTTCTTAACCACGCCGATTCTTCACACGCCGATTCTCCACATAGTTAGGCTCCCTTCTGTTTTCTAAGCATTTACCTGGTCAATTTTCTTGTGCGCTTTTTCTATTTTGTATCGACATTCTTCATGTACAAGTAGCTGAATACCTTCCTAGCCCAACGCTTCTCCGCAATTTCTCTCAATCGCTTCTCAAGTTTTATCTTGCTGCTAGCTTCCCTTCCCTCAAATGATGTCCATTTCATATCACCTTGTACTCCCTGACTTAGTGTATACCCGTGAGCTCCATGGCAAGCCTACCTATTCCACGTTGCTTACTTTCTATTCTAGCTTGAACTTACGATTTCATGCACAAGATGACATTGCCGAATGTCAGAACAGGAACCGTGACCCCTTTCACTATCTCTCTCACAACATTATACCTATTGTAATTCCACAGTGCCCTGTTTTTTATCACTGCTGCATTCTTGTTACCTTTACTTGTCATGTTTATTTCGTGTTCCTTTAGGTACTTGGTCCCATTGCTTATCCATACGCCCAGATATTTGTATTTATCTGTTATCTCTAGCGTGACCTCCTGTATTCTAAGCGCACCACCTTCAATATTGTTAAAAATCATGACTGCAATTTTTTCCTTACTGAATCTAAAATCTTACTTATCTCCCTTATTACCGCAGATGTCCATCAATCTGGATGGATGCATGGATATGGCTGTACCCTTTAGATCGGGCGGTGGCTGGCGCCACCAAGCCGTAATACCGAATGAACCAAGAACTAGATTTATTTTTTTTCTTTAAAAAGAGAGTTTGAGGATTCGTACTTTGCAGTGAAGAGTTTAAATTTCACTCGTGCCTTGACTTTAGCCACCAATCAGATAACCACCTTCTAGTTAAGTCCACCTGCTTAAAGTCTATTTTGCCTTCCCGGTCCCTAAACCCCAGTGCTTTGAAAAACTCTGCGCCATCATCCTGAACTATAGGGTGAAGCCCTTTACAGAACATTATCAAGTGTTCGGCAGTTTCTTCTTCCTCTCCACACGCACTGCATACTGTGTCTACCCCTTCGTATTTGGCCCGATATGTCTTGTTTCGCAGTACTCCCGTCCTGGCCTCAAACAGTAGAGAACAACCCCGAGTATTATCATAGATCCTTTCCTTGGCAATTTCCTGCTTAAAAGTTCGATAGATCTCTAGTGCAGACTTCTTAATCATGCCCAATCTCCACATATCATTCTTCGTTTCCTTCACTTTCTTCTTAACCGATAGTTCTTTTTGGTTTGGCCACCTGCTGTTTTCTAAGTATTTACCAGTCAATTTCCTGGTT